AGACAATGCCGGTTTTAATCCCCTTGCGATGGCTCTTTTCGACCGGCTGTATAGCATCGCCTCCGGTCGTAAGGCGTCACACGAGGGCTTCAAAAATGGCTCTTGTCTCAGTCGGTCGGAGACTCGTAGTCAGATCAGTAATCAGGTGTGTTATTTGTTTCGAGCCGTAGCTAGACTCATTTTCACCTCAGAAACCATAGAAAAAAAAGTGCCGCTTCTCACAGGGAATTACTAATTTCCACCTTTATGTAGATAATTAAGATCTATTAAGGTGCATTTTAGAATTGATATATTTTATCTTATCAAGGCATACACGTTTCAAACGCGAAAGAAAGCACGCTTCTTGCTCTGACAACGAAATCTTGTAAGAACTAGTTCGCGCCGCGTATGAACAAGGCGGAAAACTTGTTTGTATTTTAATGAGGTTTAATCGAGTACAGTAAACTAGTTTTAGATATATAACATGATGTAAGAATATTGTTTATTCAAAGGTCACTTAGAATTGCGAATTTATATTGTTATAGGCATTCAACTGTTTTTCATGAATGTTTGAAGATCTCTGAAAAATAAACATAAAAATATATTTAAAAATTCATCACACTCTTAACTAGGAATTTTAATAAGCTGACTGTGTTCCATTCTTGGATTACGTTTTCTCAATATTGTAATATATATTAGAGGATTTAATAATTTTTGCGCGTTGTGTTTTTCAAGTGTGTATATCTCTAAAAGACAAGAAATTTGACGGCCCCTATCATATCTTTACTATAAAACAAATTTCTAAAATCAAAATAAATTTGTATTTTTCAAAGTGAGCGACTTTGCATTATGTTAGAAGGTCCCTTTCCAACTAAGGGTTCTTATCTTAAAATGGACTCTTACTTCCAGTTGTCCATGTGAAGAAAAGTGACAATAATCTGCTTAGCGTTTAGTCTAAGTTATGGTTTATTTTCCTTAGAAAAAGAAGGTACGTAACAGTAGGTATAACCTGTTCATATTTAGTTTTTGCATAACTGCCACCCTTTAAATAAAGGACTAATTATTACCATGAACAGAAGTCAGTATCTTTTTCGAAATTGCTGTGCACGGCGAATCCTGAATAGAAAAAAATGTACATAAAACACATTTTGAAAGAGATAGCAAATGAATTTGAGCATAAGCTAATAAATCACTAAATACACAGTGAATTGCCTACTGTGGATCAACGTGATGCTGGGAGTCTCTAAAACAAATTGTTACGGTTGTGTAAGAAAATATGAAAACAAAATGCGTTGAAGAGATCGCTCAGCGCAAAGAATAAATTTTCTCAAATGGTCATAAATACACCTTGTAAAATTTCGTCATAAAAAACATCACGGCTAGTCCATGATCTACTGTATTATATAGTACGGAAGTTAATTGAGTGAACGCCTAAGCCAGATTCAATGCGAAGCGCAAGTTCGTCTGCTTCTTGCACAAGCATCGCAATGATGTAAGAATGCCGAGCTCCTATTGGCTGATTTGAAAGAATAGTTTGGAGACCTCAAGGCATCCGAACTTCGTTTCAGCTTAAATCCAGACAGAGCTGACGATACGAGGTAATAAGTCAAATCAAACAGTATCAAGAGCACAAGTCACTGGGACTTCTCTGAATATCACTAGTTCAGCAATGATAGAACGCATAAAGAAACATGACGAACACAGTGTTGCGCTTTTGAAGCTGTCTGATTCGCACCATCAGCTGGTAGCGTCGGCTGCGGAAGTGCACTATCACCATAGGAGACATTGGAATGTCTATAAGCCGAGAAATAGTGCGGGAATAAACTGATATTTTTATCATCCCTGGGTAGAGCATTGTTGTTGTTCTCCAATCATTGCATATTTTTTTAGAATTCACTGAAGTTCTATATTATGGCTTCAAATTAAATGGCCACGTACACACATGCAGGGATGCATGCGTTCGCATGTATGCAGTGATATATTTTTGTTCAACTTTTGGCTATTGCGATTTAGCCTGACTAGATTTTTAAAAACACCGGTACGGAATATTGAAATGGGTCTATCATTCTAACTTTATACGGATTTAAGAATCGGCTTGCAAGTTTTATGACCCCTTGAAATTAGTGCAGTATAGTGTCTTATTTTATACTGAATTATCTTACTTTTTAAAGGTTTCTTTGTGAGACTGAATATAATATTTAGCAATATAATTTCAAACCTGCTCAAGAGAGCGGCTAAATATTGTTGAACATACCTTTGGGAGTTTGAAGAACGGACTAATGGTCGAAAATACTTGGTTTTAAACAGTTTGTTTCTGTTGCACATACTGAAATGAAAACAACAAAAACATCAAGAATCTCTGATAAAACCGGTAAAAAATAGTTCATAATCGAGCTCTAGTCGACACTCGGCGCAGTCACACTTGTTCACAATAACTTCAGTGAAAAATTTTTTCTGCACCACTTTTAGCAGGGTGGTAAAAAGATCCAGCTTCGAACAGACAAAGCCGTCTCAGCTCGCTCTGGCTACTCTCAGCAATCCTATCACATTGCCGGACTGCAGAAAGCGAGAATTGAATCCTCTAAAAAAAGTTAAAGTATAATTTTAGACCTGCCTTTCGACTTCCTGCTTCTCGTGTGGTATTACTGTGTTCTAGGGAGAAGGTGGTGAGCTCCGGTATGGGATCGATCCTTTGCCAGGTACGCTTGTCAAATGGTTGGTGTGCAGTTTGACCTCGCAGAAGAGGTGCTGATATCGTCTTGATTTTATACTCAAACTTGAAAATTAGTAAAAATATATATATATATGTATATAAGTGTTGTTGAGCGTAGCTGCGTGAATGTACCACCGATGGAGGCTACGCAAAACCAAATCTGGATTTAAAAAAAGTCTTATATAAAATTGCTCTTTCCTCATCTGCACTTGGGAATGAGTGGCTGGACACGTTAATATCTACTCGGAGAGTGAAAATAAAGACAAATATACTGTAAACGACTTAATTTTCGCAAGGACATAATTTTCCGAATTTCGCGAATCGCCTACGATTCGCGAAGAATAGGTCCCACGAATAATTCCGGTAAATTGTAAACACATTGGGATCTATAATGAGATCCCCCCGCGTAACGAAAATTAGAACCCGCGAATTATTTCAAAACTTTAGCTCTGACCTAAATCGCAAAATATTGAGCCCGCAAAAAATAGTCATTTAGAGTTTATATAGGCACGAACTTTCCTAGGGGTAACTCTTTATTGCCCTACATTAAATTTTCAGTTTTTTGATGCAACCTTCACTTTTCGCGCTATTGCGCCTTCACGCAGCAATCCATTGTGTGAGTATGGATAGTGTATTTGTGTATTTTATACGCCTGTCATTGTACCTTGATAGCGTTTGGCTTTGGGGTTGCGGAGTCTTTTTCTAATTTTAATTTTAGCACGGTGTTTAGTAACAGTAACCTTCCGGCGCTTAGCGCACACAAATGCAATTTATTCGTTGCTATACAAGATGACAATATTTATTAGCACCACGGTTCACATCTGTTAGGTTTACAGCCCAGGACTCGTATGTTTTTCGTTTCGGAAAGAGACCATTGCACGCGCCACGCGCACGAACGCTGAAAATTGAACCAACCAGAAGCCCTTTTGTAGAATGGAATATAGGCTGCATCTATATGAGTGCGACCGTCGCGCATCAAATACAGATGGGACTATTTTATTTGATAGTAAATGGGTAGAATAGGAAGAAGTAGGAAGGCAGGCTGCGTGCGAATAAGCTCTGTTCGATTCGAAGCGTTACGATCGCATTCATGTGAACGAAGCCTTAGACTTTTTGCTGAATTACCCAAGCCCCAAGCCCCAGGGAGCGTACGCATGCTACATGTGTAGGATCACGCGCTCTCGTCTGCTACAGTAACTTTTCCAAAGCAGATCTAAAACACATGGCTTGTTCATTCAGGTAAGACGAACGAATGCGGCATCTGTGCCCGCGTTTCGAGCCTCCTCTGTGGTGCTTCGCTAATTTTTCCAAAATTGAATTGCGAGACTCTTCGACCTTTATTTGCCTCCGTAGTGACTTGCTTCTGATAGAGGGAGAACGGATTTACTTCAGCAATTTCTCGAAACTAGCAAGCTGCGGCCTGAGCTTACCAAGTTCCTAAAACGCTTGTCTCAAATTCGCAATTGCTTTTGTTCTCCTCAAATAGTTCCGCACGCGGACGAAAGACATACTTTGTGCAAATATACAATCTTATTAACTGCAGATAACACGAACGCTCCTGTTCGCTCGCTGTTGGATGCGAGCAAGGTGGGCGTAAGTGAACCTGTTTGCGGCCCGCGCACCTTGCTTGCCGCAGTGAACGTCAAGTTTTGATCTCGGGAAAAATTGGTGAAAAACTAGGGAGAGTGAAGTTCATGTTTCAGTAGTGGACAAATTATGACTTTCTAAAATTAACTAGAGTGAATCTGGGCGAGCGAGATAGCATTTCATAATCAGAAAGCAAGCAGCCTAATAGAATATTATAAAAACAATTCCTAACTTTGATATATGTGATGAGCCCATTCGTTAACACACTACTGCTTGATACCTCGTGAAGTGGTAGCTTATGCAGTAGGTTTAAATATTCTAAGTTAAATTTTAGCTACATATGATTTCGACATGAATCCTGCTGTAATGATCTGTGTCACCACAACAGCAAAGTGCGCGTTAAAGAGATCAGGCTAGTTGTATTGTGTTTAGGAAATCATAGCTCTTCAACACTTACACAAAAAGTCCTTCTCAGACAACCTCGCGTTTCAATGTAGAAGTATTTACACAAGTCATATGAGGTCTATTTTACGTAGCTTTCACAAGGCTTGCTTATTTTAAATATTAAACGAGGGACGTAACGTATTTATTTAAAATCTAAATTTTTGCCGCAGATACCAGCCGCTTGGAGGTTGTACTTATATCCATTTTTTTACAGCTTATCTCTGGAGCCGAATGCCCTGACACCACCTGTGTGGCAGCTTCTCAATAATCCGGTGGAACAACGTTTGAGAAGCGTCTCTCTCCTACGCCGGGGCAGCTCATTTCAGATTATTAATGTCCGCGAAATGGCTTCCTCCCAAAATAATTTTTTATGCCACCCAAAAGGCGATAACCACCATGGGTATGGCCCGGTCAGGCCATACCAACGCGCGACCAAAAGTTTAGCTGGTTACACGATGTGTCAGAAAAACCCGATCAGGCGTCGCACAATCACTGCGTCGTCTACATTCACGTGACTTCGTGAATGGCCGGTGTCTGATCGGGTTCGGGCGTCATTTTGGCACGTCGTACGACCTGCCAGACGTTTGGCTGCGCATGGGCGTAGCCTGCCAAAGTCCCCTGTTACTATCACATGCTGGGTGCAATAAAAACAAAACCTGCGCGGTGGTCATTTCGCGATAATTAATAAGCTAAAAGCACCTGTTCATGCGTGTATGTAAGGCACTTACAAAAACTGTTTCCAGCAGGGCACGGGGAGCTTATCACAGGGGTGGTGCAAGGACATTCGTTTACAAAGAAAGTCCGTCGAGAAAATGGATATATGTACAAACCATCAAGTAAGCGATATCTGCAGTAAAAAAATGAATTGTAATCGTAAATGTATACTGTAGTTTTAGAGGTAGCGTTGCATTGACATGGAAACTGGTACCTCCCCATGTAGCACAATGTTTTGGGCTAACATTTACTTTTGTGTTTGAATTTAGGGACTTAAAACGCCCGAAGCAACAAAGGTACAGTCAAACTTGACGTTCTCTGGCCAGACTCTGAGTATCTCGGCCTTAATTCGTGAAACAAATGCCTAAGTTAGGCTTCAACGCTGGTAGTTCGACTTTCACCTGGCATCTTTGTTCCTAAGTAGCAAAACACGTTACTAAATTAGGTTTCAACTTTAATTGTTCGGTTTTCATCAGGCCAACTTGGGGCCTAAATTCCTAAGTAAGTACCATACTTAGGCTTTACTGCTGATACTAATTAGGTCCGTACGTGGCTTCTTTAACTCAAGTCTCCCACTTGGGAGATTATATGGTGAGCCAGAGAAAAGCCATAATAATGTCAAAAAGAAATATTCTGACACCGACTAGCGCAACAATACTCAAAAAAACAAGCTAGCTGGTGGTGATTCATGGTAATAAAAAGCCGAGGCTCAGCAACAGAAGGGAACGAACACAACACAACGTCTTTTGAGAGGTTGTCTTGTGTGTGTCCCCTTCTGTGTTCCTGGGTCTCGGGCTTTTATTACCATGAACCAACTAACGCGTTAGAGCAAAACCGTACTACGGCTGAGTTTGGCCCCTAGAAGTTTCAAGTATGTGCCAAGTTAAATTTTTTTTTTTTTTGGTGTGCTGCCCGAGTCCTGATCAAAAAATGATTCAAAGTAAGCCAAACATTAAATCCAATATTTTAACCTCAGCAAGTATTCAAGTAAAACTTAGAGATTTTATGTGCAACTTTCAGAAGCAATACATCGCGGCGGAATAATATTTTGTGCCTTTAACTTCTTGTTTAAAATTTGTTTTAAGGGCAGTCTTCCAAATTATGTTCTTTTGGATGAAAGGAAAGAAGCCTCCGAGGAATACATGCTGTGAATTTGGTTTCGGCTATTTTTTTTCCTTAAAGATTATAAAGTATTTTCATGAAGCAAAAAACATCATTCGCTTACTTGAAGTAGTCATCCCAAGTTTCACTGCTGGAACGGGCAGTGCTGTAAAATAACGTAGTGTTCGATTTCTAATAAATTATAAAAAAAAACATACAAATGCAATAAAGATAATCTTCGGCTTTCTAGTTGAATCTGTGAAAGTTTAGAGACTCGGAGTAAGATTGAAGGCACGCAGAGGAGCATTTAGACAAAGAATCTTAGAATATTTGAAATTTTACGCGCTAATAATAAAGAAAGGCCTCCGGTAGGCCTCATAGAGGGACAGAACACAATTTTATACCACCAACTTATATTATGACCTAAGGTCAAAATATTCATTATGCGGTTAATTCACGGCTATAGTCTTTCTGAATCGTGGGTTATGGCAGCCCGTGATAAAACTCACAATCAGAGAATCACCTGTCAGCATTTTGCCTTCCTGCCTCCCAGGTTGCTGCGGATATTAGCCAGATAGCTTTTCCATGGGAAAAATAATGTCTATGCTTGTTCCTTACACACATGATTCACAGTGAAAAATTATACCCCATACAATACTTTTTATTTCCAATTCAAATGTGGCGACATAGCACAAGTGTGTGGTATAATATATAAATATTATTTTAGGCAAAACGTTTCGTACTCTACATTATTCCACTGGAGCATTGGATACAGGGAGATTGTCTCCGTTGAAGTGGCCTGGGCTCGCTTGCTTAGCCTTATGTCACAGGCACTTTCATCAACATACGTGATCTCCAAAGAGGAAATATTTGAAAATACACCGCTAAAAGAACGGTACTTGATCGATTGAAACACATTCGACGAAGCCGCCGAAATGCACAGTCTTTGGCGGAGCCGGGATTTGAACTCTGGGCTTCCCAATATACGGTCGGGTATGCTCACCACTACGCCAGTCTGCTTTGCCTTTCTGTCGTTTCCTTCTTGTCTTACTAATGCACCGAAACGAAATATGCTCGATCAGATAAGTTCCGAAGGCACACGATGCCGCGTGGAACGCAGAATGACGTTTGCTGGCGCCTTGCACGCTCTCGTTGTGCTCCGAATACCTTTCATGTTAGTCTCGTCCCAATATTCCCTAAATATTTTGTCTTTCGGTGGCTTCGTAGAATGTGTGTTAATCCATCAAGTACGGTTTATTCACATCCATGTTTTTGATTATTTTCTCTCTGAAGACCACGTGCGATGATTAAAGTGCTCATGATATATTCAAATACGCGGATCTTGATTCTCGCAGGTAATGACACCGTGTCTCTGAAGCCGGGGTCGCACTGCACATACATCTAGGGTGCCTTCGTATGCGCTTTGATTAGGGGGATAACCTCTGGTCACTTTGTTCCGAACGCTTATTTTTCTTCCTTGTTCTGATGCGCGTGAAAGAGCGCGTCGCAGCACGCGTTCGTGGCGCTGACTGTGCTATGGCGACATTTGTTCGGTGATTTTCTTGTATTTTACATGCGTAGCATGCTGTCGCCATTGGGCACTACAAATGATGGCATCATCAAAAACAGGAGGAAATTGAGTGACCCTACCAGACCCTGCATACCATTATACAAAATACAGTCTACAAATTGGAGGTTCCGCAATATCCGTGTTTCGAATGTGGCGTTTCAAGTTTTCTCCTTGAACGCACTGCCATGGAGCAGTCGAAGCACGGATTTCGCGGTGACTCGCGCGTCAATCTGTATGCAGACTGTCTTTTGTGTTATACATAACCGGTGTGACCCCAGCTGAAAGCAAGAATTAATACACGGGTCCTCAAAACAAAAAATGGTTGGTGTAAATTTGACGAGACAAACAGTGAGAGAAATTGTCGAGCACAGCGAGCAAGTGCAACATGCCGGAAAGCAACGTACCGCGTTCCCCGCGGTGGTGTGTGCTTTCAGAACAGATCTGATTGGATACATTATGTTTTGGTGCATTAATAGGCCCGACAGGAAACGACAGAAACACAAGGCGGAGGGGTATAGTGCTTAACAAATTCAGGGGAATATTTAGAGACCCGTAGTTCAAATCTCGGCTCCAGCAAAGAGTTTTTTCTTGCGGCGGATTCCTTAAATTTATTTTATTCGATAAAGTACGATTTATCAATCTGTATATTTTGAATTGCTTACTTAGTGCTGTATATAAAGGGTGTCGTCTTGCACCCTTTTGTCCCATATAATGCGCCCCGAAACTTCAGTTGGACGTACAGCGCACTGACGTCAATCTGACAGCCCTAACTTTTGTGAGGGCTTGATAATGATACGATATAACTTACTTAAGAGCTAATGTATAGGTACCAAATACTACAGACAAAACACTGAGGCTTTATAGTAGAGCAAAAAAATCCCCGATTGCTTTTCTTTTTGTAGTCAGTAACACGAACATCAGCTATTTTAATAAGTTGTACCACTCCGCTATCAAGCCGCTCCTAAGCGTTTCCGTTCGTGTGAGCAAGTGCAAACTGTTACACGCCTGCCGCAGCCACCTTAATACTCATTCTACACGTGCTTTAACGTCTGGGGCAGCAGTCTTACCTGCAACGAGATATAAAGTGCATGATATGAACTTAGTTTTGCTATCCTTTCACTAGGATTTGCAAGCTATAAAACAAATAAGCAGCTCAGCACCCACAATTTTAAGCGCAACAAGTGGACGCGTCTAAGGTACCAAGTGGCGCACTCATGAATGATCAGTGCGCAAAAACACGGACAACAAAAAAGTGCTAAAAGTACCAAATTAACACACACGCTACCTCATTGTATCATTATATAGATGTTAGCTAATACCCCCTGGAAGTACAGACTTTGACAAAAAAAAAAACTATTTCCATGTTCTTGCCATGCAGCTACATCATTCTGAAGGAATATGTGCACTAAGTGTTAATTTTTAAAAGAAAGTATGAGCTGGGTGATAAACGCTGTTGTAAATTGTTTGATTTTAGCGTGTACCATTTGAAGAAGGCATATATAACATAGCATAATTTGAATAAAACTATAACTGAATATTTATGTTAAAATCATTTCAGGTTGTTCCGCCGAGCAAAGGGATTTCACGAAATGTCCGTTACCGTCGTTTAGTAATCAAACGCTTAGAATACTCTGGAATTTAACCTATATCGGTAGATTAACTTATACACCAACAAATCGCTCCATAAGAGTGATATTTATATCGCTCAGCGATAGTTCATCGGTTTAACTATCTGTATAATTTTAAATGTACATTAATTGTAGGAATAAGAAAAAAAGAGCAGCGGGAGGACGCGTATATTTCGTACCTATATTATAATATTTATTCTTAATAACCCTGTGTAATTAGCTATTGGGACTTTCTAAGTTTAGCTAAATTTAATGTAAATGACGTATACCTAATAGAGTAGGGCGTAAGTTTGCTAAATTTAGCAGACCGCTAGCAATGTAAAAGTTAGCGCGGCAGCCTTTTGCGACACTCTTTTGCAACTTCCCGCTCCCCTAACGGAAGGCAGCCGTATTACGCTCGGCATTAAAAACACTTTACTATAAAATATGATCGTCATGGCAAAAGCTTTCAATAAACGCAAAAGAGTTGATTTGATTATTGTGACCACTGAAGCTTGTAGGGATAAATAGGCGGGGCTCACCTGTTTACAACTAGTTCAGACATAAGATTTCCGGTATTCACAATGTTGTCTGAACTTTGGTCATACGTTAAAATCATTGGCACCGTTGTATAGCACAATGACTTGTGCAGTGCTAGCCCTTGAATATAAATATCAAGAATATGAATGTAGAGGAGTGAGATTCTTCTTTTTTGTTATTGTGGTTCATAAGCTCAGCGTATTGAGCTTACTTGCACTGTCTCACAGGTATACTCTACGCAAGCAAGGTTGTCACATATTTGCGTGGACATGTATGAATTCAGAATGTCCGAAAGATATATCTGCCAAAACTTTAAAGAACCATAATGAGAGCAAGCTTACCCATCAAATTTATTAAATCGCCTTGATAGAGCCTTTGTCTGGAAAATAACAATTTGGTATTTTCAAAAGGCTTCTGTGAAAGGCTTTATGGCACCGTGAATGTACATAGATATTTCTTTTTCTTGACTACTTAGTTTGCTTAACCTCTACTCAAATATCAGTTTGCCAGGGAGACATTTGGAGGGTTCGATTGTTCATACCTGTATCTGTTTATGTGGCTCGTTTGCTACTATACCAGTTTAATATAATATATTGATTAATTTGACTCTGGGGACCAACAGCCATTTCAGTGGTTCAATCACATAACGACTCTTATTTGGAAAAGTACAACCAGCTGAGTCCATTTAATAGTGCCTCTTCCCTGTAATCTTGAAATGGCCAAAAGCAAGTTCCGTGTTTAGTTGTCGTATGGTTTTATAACATATTCACACGAAACCTAGCGGTCGCTGTCAGTTTTAAAGCCTTTACTCCTTGGAATCAGGCGAGTTGCGCTACTTCGGCTCATCTCACAAGTGTATTTATATATATATATATATATATATATATATATATATATATATATGATCACAGGCACGTACATCAAAACTATTTGTGACTGCAGCCTGCCCTTAAGGACGTGCCCATACTGATACTTACGCTATGTTTTCGGAATGACCCGTCTTTACCCTTTCCAATATGAAATTTAGTATCGCGGAAATGAAAATATTGATCTTGATAACTAACATGTTTTGCTTTGTACATTGCTGCACCTTCATCTTTTTCGCATGGACATTAGGATTGTATAAACCTTCATACTACATCTGGATAGGTCATTTTGTATTAGTGCATGATGGAATTACATACTGCTTGATGCTTGCTTTCCCCCCCTCCCCTTTCTTTAAAATAATATATCCTGTATATTTGCTAGTTAGTTCTAAACCTTTTAATGTCGTGTTATTTGCTTTCGTTTTATGTGTGAATGTATATGTTGTATCCCACACCTACTTGGGCCTTCGATGGCTTGTAGTATCCTCTAAATAAAAAAAAATGTATTGTATAATAGGCAAGTGAAAATAATGCCGAAACCGACATCCAAATTTACCCGCGCTTTTCAGTGACATCACGTTAAGGAGAAGGGAGGCTTGGAGAACGAGAGGGAAGTATTAAAATGAAGTATGCCGAAGCAATTGTGTCGTCTTGCTGCTCGTGTGCTGGACAAACTACCAAAGAATTCATTTGACACCATAAACCTGCCTTTAACCGGTTGGGAACAAAGTATACAGTCCAAAGGTCGAACTGCTTCGTGCCGCTGACGTTACTTCTTCAACGATGCCAACAGAGACATTCAGTTTGAAAAGCACCATGAAGTCAAAATTTGTAAATTCAATATCTTAAAAAAAAAAGAAAACGATTGACCCAATATTTTGGTTAATATTTTTGCGATTTTCTTTTAGTATGTTTGGCACATTTTCAGGCAAATCGGAGATTATGAAGGAAACGCCGGAGTACTCCTTTAAGGCCCGTTGACACACTTGCATTTCACTGGGACCGACAGGGACCAGACCGGTTTCTAAGCCTCTTGCGACGGCTTACGACCGGCAGCGCTGCTGCGGAGTCGATCTTCAGCCGCCACAAGAGGCTCAGAAACCGGTCTTGTCTCTGTGGGTCCCAGTGAAATGCAAGTGTGTCAGCAAGCCTTAATTCTTAATTCAACCAGAATGAGCGAAAACAAGCAGGTGGAGGTGGTTGGGGAGAAGTATGGGGTTGTACGTTCTATAGAGGTCACATGCGCATACGAAGTTTAGATAAATTTTCTAGGCTTTGCAGACTTTGTCAAGTGCATATTTTGTTGATTCGCGACATAGTGCAGGAAGATTTTTATAAATGTTAAAAAAGCTTACTTCCGCGAACAAGGAACAGAAAGTGAGGATTTAACCTTGGTTTCAAAACAAGTTAGAAAGAAAAAAAAGAATAATATAGTAAACATAGATTGAATAGCGGAAACAGTTTCATCGGAACGTCGGTTATGTTTGCTGTGTTGCCAGGGCTTACGCTTTTTTCACTAATGAAGGAAGCGTATACATATACCTCCATTATAGCAAAAATGATGTTTACCTCTTGTGAAATAATCATTTTTTTTATTCGAGACAGAATTGTGTCCTTCAACTTCTAACTTCTGACTTCTACTAACTTCTGGGTTAGTAAAATTGCAGGGCACCCAGTTTCGGCTACATTAATTTCTTTGAAAAACGTATATATATATATATATATATATATATATATATATATATATATATATATATATATATATATATATATATATATATGTATATATATATTAATAATTGTCCCGTAGAGTAATTATATAAATTTTATTTTATGACATGTATAAACAATTACTCATTTCACTAAATTTATTTGTGCGTTTTATTTGAACCTTAAATAGGCCCAACCTTCTGCGCTTCTTTGATGTAGGAGTTTAAATAATTTGTAAAGGAGTCGCAGGTGTGGCAAACATAAACATAATTAAAGAACGTCTTTGACATAAAATAATATACCTATTATAGATGCAAGAAAATTGAGAATTTATTCGTTTTATATCTTATTGGCTCATTATTGTCAGTAAAGTAAATGTTCCTGTAGTATGGATAAGTTACTAGGAAATGATATTGTGCATTCGTCCTTTTATTCTCACAATACCAGTGGTCAAATATTTCTAAAGCAGTTCAGCATGGCACGTTCCTTGACGCACCGATGTAAAATGAATGCTCGTCTGTGGGCTCTGTCATGAAGAATTTACTGCAAAAAAAATCGTTCAGCGTGGCATTGGAAGTTCTTGTACACCGAGGTTTATAGTAGAATAGTATTGGAAGCTCCCGCCGTAACTTAACGAGTGACCTACAGAATCGTCTACTGCCAACAAGAAAACCGGTTCCCAGCTGCCTGCCTCCATGCTCTTTCGCACTCTTCTTTCCTCGTTTTCCCAGAGGAGCGGGTTTCTGAGTGGTGTAGGAACAAATGGTCCCGGAAATAAATGTTCCGGAACTAATGGTCCCTCAACAAATGGTCCCGGAAATAATGGTCCCAAGTCCAAGGTAGGAAAAATTGGTCCCGTAAGAAGATGGTCTTAAAACTAAGATATTGCATGCAGTATACTTCATCTGTTATGCGATAAGTGATTTCCTGGTGGAGTGAAGGATCCGGTCTATATTTTGAGGCCGGTTACTTCGAAGAAAGTGGTCGGGTATTGAACTTAACTTTATTCAAAATCGTCAAAATATTTTTGAATTGAATACTGTCAAACAGTTATCTCCTAACTGTTAATTTGGTGACCTTATACGATATTATAGGAGTTATCACTATTTTCACATAAGGGGTTTTACAATATTGATTATATCAGTAGGCTCTTTTGGAACGAAAAATGAGTACCCCTACTCTATATCACAAGAGCGAATGAAATTTTAGCGAACAGCGCCATTTGAGCGAATCGCGACGCTTTAGCGAACAACGCGGGCGCGTGGTAACCCACCCCTTCGCGCTGCGCTTACGACGCTTCACAGCGACAGTCTGCGGCGGCTCATTACAAAATTGTGAACCCTCTTCACTCACCCGTAAACACCGTTTTGCGGCGGCCGACTATTTGCTAAAGGGTCATTCGGTGAAACGTGGGCGTTCGCTAAAACGTTATTCGATCAAATGAGTACCTCCCCCTGGGCATACTGTTTCGAAACTCGAATTACTCCCATCTCGTCGTGACCCGTGGTGGTAGCGCACATAAGGAGCAGGGCTCGATGCCTTTATAGGTGCATTAGGTTTCAACAGCACAATACATATCTGAGCTTCCCAGAAAAATATGAAAACCGGTCGAGTTCGTGCAACCGGCAGCCTCGAAATTTGGCGAGTATTATTGGATTTTATGGAAGTTATCCGAAAACGCAGAAGCCACATGGGCAATATTTTTCTAGGACCATTTTTTCCAAGTTTGTATTTGGGATCATTAGTTCCGGGACCATTTGTTCCGGGGCCAATTGTTCCGGGACCATTTGTTCCGGGATCATTTGTTCCCTTTCCCGTTTCCGATGTACCCTCCGCCGGAAGGAGGGTCGCTTTTCTTGAATGGTAAAAGGAGGAATCGGGGGAGAGTTTCCTTTCTTTTTTGCTTGTTGGTTGACCTTTATTGTCACCCTCTCCCTGGCTGGTATAACAACTTAAAATATACATATTTTATTAATTAGTGAAGTTTGTTTCCATGATTATGTCCCTTATGGGACATAATCAGTCGGCCTCAAAACGAGCTGACTCGACGGAACGATAGCTAAATTTCCAAGCACCTCGCATGGGGAGATCCTACCGTGATGAGCCGTTGAGAGCGAGGCTGGAACGGACCGCTGCGATTTAATACACGGGAAATAAGCCGTGCACTTCGCCAATGACAACCAATTGTAGACAAGAAAAGAAAAAAAAACATCTGAATGGCGTGGTGATGGATCAAAACCAAGAGCCGGCCACGCAACGAGATGCGTCGAGTTAACACTAGATGTGCGACTTATAATTTCTACCAAACTCCTCTATGCATTAAATCGCGGCAATCTGTTCCAGCCTCGCTCTCAGTGGCTTACCGCGACCGTGGCGCCACACGCGATTGTTTTGCCTCTCTGGCCGGCGTCACGACGAGCCAGCTGATCTTGATGCCGACTGTACACTCCTTTCATTTTTATCGAAATATCTAATACTTTTCCCTGGTTTACCGTCGGCCTGAAACGCCTTCGCAGTAAGAAAAAATGTTTCTTCAGGCGTGCGAGACACAGAGACAGCCCATTAGACTGGCAGGCGTATTATGAATGCGAAACAAAAAAAAATAAGAAGTTGAATCTGGTAAAAACTCCTTTTACCAAACTTGCATCTTATATTTACATCATCACATGATTGCCATCACTAGACGCGACACCACGGACCTCCATGGTACGGGCTGTTGCCTTTCTATGGTGCTGCGGCTCTCCTGAGAAAATAATGATTACTATTTTTACTATATTATAAATGATTTATCATCATTCCACAATCGTATATTTGCTGATGACTGGTTAATATATAAAGAAGTTCATACTAACACTCACACCATCACGCTGAAAGATGACATTGCAGTAACTTATCTGAGTGGTGTTCGGAATGGATGATGAAACTTAACCTCACTAAATGCAAACCCATTTCATTCGTTAAACAAAAACCTCTTTAAACACATTCCTACTTTATTTAATCGAACCAGGTCAAATCGATCATACTCTATAAATACTTTGGTCTTCATACCAATATGCATCTATCATGAAAATATTATATTCGGATCTGTTGTCATGATGCAATCGCTCTCTTGGCTAGCTACACTATAACCTTCGTCTTGCTTCTCCTAAATTAAAAAAAGACGGCATATCTTTCAATATTTCGACCAAAATTTGAGTACGCATAAAGCATCTAGGATCCTTATCAAGATTATCTTAATAAATAACTTTAAGCTTTCCGAAACGGTGTGGCTCGTTTTCTTTATTTTTTATTATTCTCGTTATTCTAACATCACAAAATTTAAAACAAAAAGCCGACCTTGCAGAATTGACCTTATGACGCAAACTTTCTTTCATGTGCATTCTTCATCGATTTGATTACTCACCTCACCTCCGCCTAGGTCTCCTAACCCGGACATCATTGGTTACCCCTCCTGTAAATCCCTGTTGCAAAATTAAGCGCTACACCTGTCACTCTTCATCATATTTGTATTCCTTTCTCTCCGGAACAGTAGTCTGATGGAACGCGCTTCTTACAGGAATTGTCACCGAGACCAATCCTGAACGTTTTCGTGCTGTCGTTGCCAACCATTTAGGAAATACATGATTACGCTTTTTTGTAGTTTTTATACTATAATATGCAGTTTTTGTACCTAACTGCGATATCCTCTTCAGAACGTTGTAGTTCTTCTGATTATGCATCTCCTTTCGAAGTGGGTTATACTTCATGTGCAGTTGTTCTCATTTATAAAATCTCAAAATATGGAACTGCTTCTGCTTATGCTTTGGGGTTTTCTGTGTCCTTTGCTCTAATGTGGAGTTGTTGCTATCACTTGCAAAATTTTCTTTAAATGTCGTGTTTCTCCTGATTAAGCATTTTGATTTTGTTTCGTATACATTATATGGAGTTCTTTTCTGAAACATCTCGAAATGTTGTATTTCTTCTCGCCCTTGGGAAATGTCCTTTAAAAAAAGGACCTGTAAGGTATTTAAATAAAACAAATCTATCAAATATATTATTGGTTCAGTATTTTTATACATTTTTCAAAGAGCATTTTATTCTAGGCTTGTTATGTATATTCAAACAACAAACATTTAGATCTGTGCATTGGTGAAAGACATATGCGCTTAAATCGCTAACATTGTGTTAAGAATGTTAAACATATTTGAAAGTAGATATTATACTGCCTTGAGTTTTAATGCGTGGATTACATTCGACGTGGTATTAAGTAATTATTTTAACATATTTTGTTTTTAACCCGATTTCTATAATAACGTAACGCGAACGACAAAAACACGGTCACAATGACGCGCGAGGAGCGCGCTTGGGCATGAAGCACTAGATGCCTTTTTCTAAAACACGAATTTACCATCGTACTGGGGCTCTCCAACCGGGCAAAAACCTATCTATACCAATACTTTTAAGATGCTAAGACAGCAGCCTAAACCGAGATAGTTAGTACAGTTGGCAAACTCGGTTTCATTACTTCCGGGATGCCTCAAGCGCTATCGGTTCTATTCTACGCCAACAATTATTTTGTCAGGAGTCGCCTTGTTTGCGTCTCTTCGCGCATTACTGTTGTGCAGAGGCTGAAAATGATCATTAACAAAATGAAAATCGCAGAGGAAGAATTCATAAAAATATGCGCACGCTCGAGTGAAGGAAAAGGTTGGTACCTCCTCATCGAGAAGCCATCGTAAAACAAAAGAACGAAAAGAACGACAAAATGCCAAGCGCTTCGTTTCGTGTCTACTTTTCATTCTTCCTCGTAGTTATCGTGCTGTTTTTATAAAAATACGAGCGACAATTTAATTGACTGCTAAAGTTTGACCGGCCGTCTGGGATCGGTGCAGGACATCGGCTCATACCGCGAGATGCACGACTAAAACAAGCCAAAATTACAAAAAAAAACACATGATCAAAAATGTATTTATTTGATTTAAATTGTATTAATATTATATAAGTCACTGCAGCTAAGAAGTTAATATTTATCACTACATGTATTTTTAGACATGGAAGAAGGATCCATTAATTGGTCTGATCACTGAGCACAACGGGGAACAAAAATGATTTCTAATTAAACTTTTATATATATTTTCACTTACAAAATTAGTTAATATAATCCCGTGATACAAAATAAGCTGGACATCAGCTTGTTTGCTTTTCCCTAGTCTCATCTGCTAGCTATAGGACCTTACATTTTTGTTTCATTTCTTTGGTCATCCTGATTTTTTGTAATAGAACATTAGGCGCCTGACCTCAGAAATTCAAGGGAGAAAAAAAAAAAAAGCTCGCTCTGATTTGATCAGATCGAAAAGCGTCACTTTTTGTTCGTGTTCAGCCTGCCATAAAATCTTTGTTGCTAATGATCTCTTTATTTAATACATAACACATGATATTCGCACCCTAAAAATAAAAAAGCAGGAAATAAAAAACAAAAAAACTCACATTTAGAAAGTGGAGACACATAAGGAAAGATACAGACAGGACAAAGATTGTCGTGTACCTTCCTTTATGTGTCTCCACTTTCTAATTGTTTAAAAAGCACCAACGTGCACCTCAAATAGTACAAGTGAAAAAAAAAACATTTGTAGATTTTCTTTTGCTGAAAAGATTTTGATATAAATCATCATAATAAAATAGGTGTGATTTAAATCACAATTTAAAAAATGATTTTAATCGCTAAAAAAGACATTTTGCTTTTTTTTTATATATACCTTGGTATAAACGCTTGCACGCTGCCGCCGAGTTGAGGTGGCTGAGCTTATTATTAAGTCACAGATTAATCACAGATTAAAAGGGCGTTCGGAGCACACCATCAGCTACGTCAAGACCCTCTTTACCCTTACAAGGACAGATCTTTTGTTCTAACATATGTGGAAACGACCAAAGTTGCCGAAGGCAAGGAATGTGTAAGACACTTGAACAGATTAATCGATGACTGAAAACTGGAAGTTTATTGGGAGCAAGAAAATTCCTTGTCTTTTTAATATTCCGCTTTCTGGTGCTTTTAGTGTTTCCATTTACGCGATATCAGTCTATCCTGGAATACACCCTGAAAAATTCTAGTACACAACTTTCCCTTGTTCTTATTCGTCTTAAAAAGTAGGCATCAGTAGTATCGGGCCCGATAAAGCGTAAAATGCAACTGACATCGCTTTGGATAAATATCGCACCCCCTGCAGTGTTCCTGGCTAATGCGGGGGCTCTCCAAGTGGCGTATGCATCCCAGGAACCCCTGGATAGTACGGGGGACAGGGGAGCCCCCAGTTTGTTTAATATATGTAAAAAGACACGCGCTCAGCCTTTCGAATTTAATAAAGGCCCGATAGTAGCTCGGTGAAAGCCTTCGCGAAAATTGGTAAGTCCAAATCCAGACTTCGCTATGGTCCGTTCACTGCTACACCGACAAGGCGTTGGGAGTTATATGCTCGCGGGTCAAGTGAACCGTAGATCGTCCATCGAGTTATCGCGTTAAACGTACACATTCTCCCGCAAGTAGCTAGGACAGGCTATGAAAAGCAAGTAAATTAAGGATGCAAAGAGTACTTAGCTCCCGCTGTCTTGTCAGCGTAGTGGTGAATATAGTTTTGTGCTGCATTTTGTAAAGCAAACAATTTTGCTGTAATGCCAGTTTTTTTTTGTTTTTTTTACAGCGATATTTGTTAGTACATTTTTTCGGGCAAACCTGACACCGTGCTGATGTTAGCGCAACGTAAGACCCGCTATCACTCCCTCCCCAACGCCATCGGCCCTCGCACATCCTTGTTACCTTGGCAATACAGGCAACCCTTCCTCAGAGTTTCCCTGGTGTCGTTGGAATTAGAGTTGCAATTGTGACACTTTGAAAATGTTTAAGGCAATAAACTACCTAGTGTAATAAATGTACTAATTTAAGATTTAGGAGCCTTTACTAAAAAGATTTTGAGGTATTCTTATTATATATTCTTATAGTTATTTAAAGAGGCGAGACATGGCATGCCTCCTGAAAACATAAATGGCAAAACAAAAGTTGAGGGGTTCTGGGGATTCAAACACGTGACAACATCGACGAAAACTCCGCTCTGATAAAAAGCGAGGAGTTGGGGGTGGGGGGATGGGGGCGCTGGGGAGGGGATGGGGGAACTGTACACTTTGGACATGAAACAACTTTGCATAGCCATGACAGATTAAGTACGTTAACGAACTCGTAGTCTTTTTGATGAACGTTACGACCAAGACTATTTTGTTTCTTCAAAGTACAAGATAAAGCAGAAGGCCAAAGGAAAAACAAATAATAAGTCTTGCTGACCCTTTGCCTGTAATTTTATGATACGTAGTATTTTCCTCGGTTCCTTAACTATTTTCTAATATTTTGCCGCACTTTCAATTTTCGGTTTGTTAATTGTCTAATCACCGCTTGTTTGCAATTGGCACCTGATGACAATCACAAATTTGTTACCTCAGTTTACAATATGAAGAGAATGAATTCAAGGGCTGACAATTATTCTTCCAGGAAATATTCCCAAAAATAACCCTTGAACACAAAAAAGCATAAATTCCTGTAACGTTAGTACACAGGTACTTACAACCTTTGTGAAAAATTTTCAGTTTAATTTTATCTAAGGTCTTAAGTTTTTCATCCACGTGGTATTGTTTTATTCAGCTCTAAGGGACAGTTTATAAATATGACACTTACTTTGTAAGGACACATATAATATGTGGCCGGGGCGATAAAGTCGTCGATTCGTCTTTTATTTCAGCCAGGACCACACCAGCGTTCATTAGACTCTCACTACCGCAACTAGCTTTACTGGTCCAGCTGAGTAGATTTTTCGTAAGTTCCGGATTTGTCTGTGAGAAAAACTTTCTTAGGTTAATTGAATTTGGAAAACAAAAGAGAATATAATAAGTGTTAAAGATAAAAGAGTGACTTCGCGTCAAGCCAATGAACTTACGATATTCCGGTTCGTCGTGTTAAACTTAATTTCCACTCCGGGGTCTCGCCGTAATTTCATTTCAGCCTACAAGGAGGTATGAAATAGGACAAATGAATGAATGAAAAAAAATTGTGTAAATTAGGCTGGCTGTATTTTCTGTTGAGCTGTGCTATACAAAATATGTTTTATATACTGGTTAGTGTGCCGCGACTTAAACAAGTTACTTTTCAGGTTTATTTACTTTTGTCATTGAGTTTGACGCAAAGGCGGAAACTACTTTGGAGCGCTTTTGTGTAAAAGTCAATTTTAGATTGATATATTGCTAAATATTTGCGCATTTATTAAACCAATAATTAAACTGTGCACTTTTAAACAGCCTATGAGGGATTTAACTAAGGTATACGATACGCAAGTCGCGTTCTGGTGTCTGGATATCTAGTCAGCCCCGAGTATTTTCTGGACTTTGCTTCAAGTACCTGTGGCTCGAGCTCCTGTGAATTACATAAACACTATATGTTCTAAGTGAAAAAGTAGACACCAACAACACTGTGATACCCTTAGAGCCTTCAGGACACACCGCCCTAGAGGAACTGAGGCGGAGGGCGCGGGACAGAGAAAATCGCTTTAGAATATGTCACGCAGTGCTTGAGATTGATCATCAGCTTAGACGTTGAGACAAGATAGTTTGATATCATTATTGAAGATCCTTCAGGCATAAAAAGATTCCTTTCTGTGGCTTTGCTTTAACCACTTTTGCTACATCATTATAAAGTATATATAAAAAAATTTAACGGGCAATGTTTTCATGCTTTTTCTTGTGTTTCCGCCTGTGACAACCTCTCGGGACACATCATTAACAAACTAAAACAAAGTGCCGCGTCAAAATCAAAGTGCGCGATATTTTAGTAAGCTATGAATATATTAAATAAACATAAGATTTGTGATTGCAGCTGGCACTTTCTAAATAGGGTTCGATTTGTGAAACCCCGGCTCCTAGAAACTTATCGTGATATCGTTTTACTTTGCAAGGATTTGAGAGTACTTCTTACTGTTACGTGTACACCTCGGCAAAGACAATGACCTTAGATTCTTAGGCTATCAAACACTTTGTATGATTTTCCTTGCTGCTACCCGTCTCAGAGAATGAGACAACACACGGGATCAACAACACGGAGTTATTTAATCACCGTTGTCAACCACGCCGCGATCTCAACAGCCCCCGTGCATACGCTGCGACGGCACTATCAGCGGCGGAGCGCCGCTCGCGTGGCCAGTGTCTCTTTGCCACCTCGCGCTGCAAATGACCACTGACGATATGGCAGAGGGGCAACTTGGACCAACGCCTTTGGATCCCCAAGTTTCCTACAACTTGAACCATTGAAATATACTTTTTATAGCTTTTCGTGCCTCGTGCCAATGACATTAGACGCGCTTCGAGGGTCAGTTTCGGAGCTCTGGCTCTGCAGGAAGTACTGAAAATTTCTACGGGGTAAACCCTCAGATCGACTCGAGTGCCTAGCGTGGCTAGCGATGCACTAGAGCACCGGTAGCTCTCCGTGCATTTATGCCTAATTGTGATGATGATTAGGCCTCTACTGTGCTCTACCCCTATTCTGCGGACGTCTCAGCAAACGTTTGAGCGCACCTAAAGGCAATTAGACATAAAAACACGAACACAGACTAAAGTTGTAAGGTCATAGCCTACGTCTTTACTCGATTCCTTCAGCCGTTGATAGCACAGGAACGAAGATTCAACAAAGGGCATGCCATAGCTTGAGCTTCTTGTTTTTCCTATCGGCTTGTGGCATCGGCTACGTTGTGTGTAGAATAAAATTTTGATTCACATAATCGCAGCGTTATGTTGGTTATGTTTGCTTCTTGGTTGTACACCAATCAAGCGAGCCGGTATAACTCCGCCATAGCAGACGCTTTTGAACTGTTTATATCAGAGCGACCTAATGGGCGTGTCAACGCTGTTGCTGATAGAGACCTTGAACATACTTCACAGTGGGACGTGAAGCTAACGGCGCTCTCAATGCCACGTTGGCCGCACGAGGCGCTCGCAAAGAATTGAGTGTAAACAAACCGCTCAGGCGGTATTCTTGTTGCCCACTTCCAATGCATTGGAGCGATCTTAAGCTGGGTAACTGCACCACAAAATTCTGGGGGTGCTGTCTGCTTATACGAAAATAAGAGGTTCTCCTAAATGGATTGATCGAAATACTAAAAACTCAATTATTTTGGGTTTTTCAGCTTAGCGGTCAACCCAAATCGTTTTATTTATCCCATGCCTTATGGTTGTTCTCTCTTCGCCATCAATTCTTTATGTAGCGTAAATCTTGAGCAATATGTTTAAATATAAACGAGTATAAGAAAAGTAAAGTTTTTATAGCATAAAATATTGTCTATTGAAACGATGCCTCAATTTTGTTTTTGTACAACAATAAAACTGACAAATAATAAAATAACTTTTTATATCTATATATTAGTTCGTGACAACAAAAGCTGGAAATAATTTTCAATTTCTGAAGCCATATATATATTCAGATGAATGGCGTAGACGTTTGGCACTGCAGGAAAGGCAAATGTATTAGGCTAATAGAGTGGTCCGAGAAATAGGTTTAATGTAATAATAAGCTTGGAGCTGTGCGGCTGCATCGAATCTGTTTGCCTCGGGAGTAAACTGTTCACTCAAGTTGGCAATGTACTCTACAAATATTGAAGCATTGAATGTCATACGTTTTAATAAATGTGTTATATAGGGCTTGTACATCGAGTATTATAGAGCAATATTAGAGATGCATATTGCGCGACCTTTTGCGTTTTACAGTCTGCAAACGGACATGAGAGCTCAACTTGCGAGCTTTTCGTGTACCATTTTAATATTGACCTATATTCTGAGAAGGAACATAAAATAACAAAATATTTGAAAGCAAGACAAACATTTTGAAATTCTAAATGAGTTAACCATGTAAGGCCGGTAATTGAATCGAACAGAAAGTGTTGAAACTAACTCATGCACAGACATCTCCGCTTAAAGAGGTTTTTGCACTTCGTCGAAAATTATGAATTTTTATTTTTATGTAGCATTTTATTATTATACCTTTTCTTGGACTTCCTCCAGCCACTTTCCAACTTTTGAGTCCGGTCTTGCATCTTCGTTTTCAAAATCGTTCCCGTCCAATAGGTAAGCAATCGTAATGGTCTTTGCACCTATAAGTTTGTTTTGAAATGATGCATTACGCCATTTAAATAAGATGTATATTATATTTCCCTTGCTTACCTCCACAACGTGTAATAGGACATAGGACAGTCATGTGACGCACAAATAGTATTAGTTTTCTAGCGTACAAGTGACGCAAATAAGATAACTTCTCCTTTTTACATATATTGCGTGTCAAATAAATTAATCTTTACATTTAATCACTCGATGTCACTGACCAAGATTTTCTCTAAGCAGAATTTATGGCACCAACTAGAAAAAAAACATGCCTATTAATAGTTGAGTATTTCTTACAGAATCATTAGAGTTTTATTTTTTTTTTCTGAAGAATGCACCTTAATATGTTTTGAAGATTCTCAAGTCAGGTGTTTCGCATAAAGATTATAATATTTCTTTTAGCGATAAAACTATACTTCAAAGCGCGTTTTACGCTATTATCAGGTTCGCACCGTTGCTAATTTCATTTTAAGCCAAAATAACTTGACATCCCCATGCAAAAAAGACAATCTGCCTGGAACAGTACGCCCGATTTGCTGCTCCTCTCAAAATATTTCGAGCTACCTTGCAAGGCTCGGCCAACCACTTGATTATGTCCTTGTTTATGCAGCCTTATAGAATCGAGCTCGCATACCTCGTCGTTCTGCTTCTTAGAGAATTCAGTGCCGTCTGGAGCCCTTAATTCAAGGTTGCATATCCCTCATGTTCGAGCCCACAAATAACGCAGGCCCGATTGCTGCGGGAATCTTCACTAACGTAGCCATGCAGCGTGACGCTTTCAAACTTCCATCAACAGCATTAACGTCGTTGGCACCAACGTGCCGAGCAGGAGCTTCTGCTGGCCGACATATTGACCGTGGGCATAAGAACGCTTCGCCTGTAAAATCACTCTAAAGCTTCTTCTATGCAATGGAACTTTTGTTCCCGCGGGCCAAGCTGGAGCCAATGTAAAGATTACAAGACAGCAACAGCATCAACTTCAAGGTTCTTCATGTTCCTGCGGTTTAGCCGAATTGCAGCACTGCCACGGAGTCTACAACCACCTTTGCTCAAGCGACCTCAGGTTATGTAACTTTCAACATTCCAGCGCCATAGTCAAAGGCATAAATGACAACGAGGCGTGCAAATGCAGTTTCCGAACAAAATATTGACAGTGGAGAAAGGGGCACTACTGTCACAAAGTTACTCTATACAGCTTCTTCGTACCCCAGGTTGGTGCTCGAAAAGATGAAGGTAGCTTCAGTTGTAACGGTGTGCTTCTTGTTGTATTTCCACACCATGGAGCTGTCATCCAACAGTTTGGCGACCGATTATTGCTACTTCGGAGTCGTGATATATTACGTTTTGTAATATATAGGTATTAGCATGTCTTAAATGTGATCATGTATGCGCTTGTTTTTTTTTCTTTTTGGTTGAAGTACACCAATTTAAATACTATTGTGGGGATATTTGGGCATTTATATAAAGATGATATTGATTATCATGACGACGACAACGACGACGACGACGACGATGATGATGATGATGGTGATGATGATTATAATTATTATTTTTATTATTATTATTTGATTATAAAGCACCCAGTAGAGCTCTGATAATGCTATAAATCCGCACACCACTGCTTGAGCTAGTGTTTCACCGTCGGAGGAGCTGGAGGGGGCTTTCATAAACTTGTAATTTTGCTCTGAAAGGAGCGATGAATCAGCAATTGCAGGCATATTACTCTAATATTATGCCGCTGAAATATAGCCAATCGCGTTTCTGACTGTAGGATCTCTTATTCTGTAGTCACTAACAACCTAAGAAACCTCAGGGCCTGGCTTATTATATTTAAACTACTTGCATCATGATTTGTTTACCCACATTGATATTTACTTATGCGTAAGGCCGACCGGTTTCGAAGCAATCAAAAAACGCCCAGGATTAGGAACCCATTTAATTTTTTAGCTGTAATTAAATATGGCACAGAGGCACCGGACACTTTGGCGGCTGAAGTTTCTACATTTTCATGCCGCTGTGATAAGAGATTGCTTGCTAGGTATTGTCTTTTCATATAATTCTATTTCGTCACTCTATAGAGAAAAATGAATTGACATTATAGCTTCTAAATCAATGCTTTTTTTGGTTCTCTTTTTAAGATATTAAAAAAATACTCTGGAGCGGTGACAAGAGTGGCGCTATTACCATTCCCCCAAAATAACTCCTTTATTCGCTCGCATAAATATTTTTAAACACTCTTTTTTCCGAGAACAAATAACAACAAATAACAGAATGAAACAAGATGCTTCCTCATAAATTTACATCAGAAAAAGTACTCGAAACAATTGAAGGTCTTTTTTATGTGTCACATTTCTTCTGTATCTCAATTATCTTGTCGCTTGCTCCTCCCTTTCGTTCTTGCAATGTATAGTATCTGGTATTTTATAATGGTCCTCTGACTTTATGTTAGTCTCCTATATACAGATTTGAATAGTTTACCCCACTCCTTTTCGCTGTTATGTAGCATTCTACACTCGCTGCGTGGTATTTGTGTACGGTGTAAACATTCAATCCACTCTTTCTTGGGCTACACAAGTGGATTGTAGTATTCTGTAACTAAAACTAGAAATAACATGGCGCCTTGACAACAGCACAAACTTGACTTCTTCTTTTTATAATCCTCTCCCCCCCCCCCCCCCTTGTAAAGTGCGATGCACTATTGTGAAGAATATTAGCTGAAACAGTCCTTCACGCATTTTTGGCGTACCGGCCAGTTTTTGGGAAAGTTGTGGTTCAAATTAGAAATTTGATGGAAAGTGAGGGTCCCATACTTTAAACCTTTTAACTTATTAGAGCGTAATATGGCGTGTGGAGTCCGCATACGCTGGAAAACTTTAGATCGGGTGTTTCAGCTTATATTGCAGGGGGGTACATTACTAAAGCGGCAGCAGTTCGAGTATCACGTACCCGCTGTGCAACATCACCGAGAGGAGTTCTGGTGCGAATATACTATGTGGCAGGGTTGAAAGCTGAGCTAGTTGGTTGTGATTCATGATAAGAAAAAAGGCAGAAAAAAGCAGGACAAAAAAGAGGACAGGTACAAAAGACAACCGTTTGTCTGTCGTATGTGTCCTCTTTGTGGCTTGGTTTTTCTGCGCTTTTTTAATCACGTATACTATGTGATTCTGTTTGTGCTTCATGGCGCAGCACTATTTTTTAGTCAAACAGAAATACTGGTTAAGGCACAATAACAAAAAAAATATTACCACTACCCTTAGTTTCTGTATACGTAACATTCTAACAAGCTTTTTTTTTTTTTTTTTTATAAGCACAAAGAATTTAGCTGAAGTGAATTTTGAATGTTTTAAGCTGTATATTTAAATATTCCACTCAAAAATTACAAAAATAGCCTGAAAAGAGCGGTCGACTTTTTGTTACGAGCAATTAGCTGCTTCAGCGTACAGGTCAACCGTCGTTTTGAGGTGGTCGTTTTTTTAATTTTTTTTCTGCTCAAATACTGCTACTTTCGTGATTTGATATAAATAGGACCACACGGAACGAAACTTAGGAAGGAATGTTGGCAATAAAGACGTGTGTGTTTTTGTTATCGCGCTTAAATTCGGTATAAATAAGCGAGGTTATTTTCAACCTCGAAAGTATAAAAGTACTTACCTGAACCTCCTCTTCTGCTGCCGCTTCGAGTCCTCGGTTCAGCTGCAAAACAAAAGACACATAATGCAAGTGTCAGCGTTCTGGCCAATACCGTCATTTTAAGTCCATGAATTAAATACGGAAATACTCAGTAGTTATAAACGTCGCGTGAGCCGTTTTTATATAAGTGAATTCCGAAAGACCACAGCGGTTTCCAGTAAACATCACCTGGCATTCTCCAGATGTGCTTCCGAATTCGAGCAATGACCACAATCAGGAAGCGTCATGGTATACGTATAATTGTCTGAGGTAGCAAATTGCCGTGAATGCGTATTTGTCCAGATGTGCGCTTGTAAAAATAATAAAATAGTTGTTTTTTCTGTTTGTGGTTGAGATGTTCTTATATAGAAGCCCAACTGTGGATATCACTCTCCACCTATACACCAACCCGTTGACGCACAATACGAGTGTAAGGATCTTTCAGATGCTGTTACTAGATATTGAAACAGATATCATTCAAGTATCTCAAACTTTTCAGCATTTTAATTAAAATGCGCTGTTTTCTAGGTTCATTTCAACCGAATGAGACGAAATAAACTGGTATTTACAAATTTGATGGTCATATCTTAAGTGGTCCAGTGTTGTTCTTGTTATATCGCGGTCCAGTATTTTCCTGGTTATATATACTGTTATTATATTAGAATTGAGCACTTTTACCTCTGGCAGCTCTAATTCTAAAATAATATTGTTATCGACATAAGATTAATACCCCCACGCACTGCAGTTGTATCAACTACAAAAAAAAAAAAACACATTTAAGAATTCCACGCTCACGTCGAAGTGTAAATTATACCTGAAAACCAATGTTCTCTCATAGAACGTTTTATATCTAAAAAAAATAGAACTCCCCACAAAATCATACACAGTACTAAAGAAATACGACACATTCTATAACAATCATTTTATTTTCTATACAAAGCTTGTATTTTAATTTAAAAAAAAATGAAAGACGTTTACAATTCTCTGTAATGCCGAATTAGAGTGCATCTTTTGAGGAGGAGGAAAGGAGGATATGCTCTTGCTCCCCCTCTGTACCCTCCCCTCCTCCTCTCCCACTCCCCTCCCATTTAGCGGGAAATTTTCGCTAAATTTTCCGCGAAATATACCCTTTCCCAAATTCAGTCTCGCCACTTTGATCACTATCATCATATGTGGAACGGCATGTGTGCCATACCAATGGCGGCCTTCTAGCGACTGATAAAGGAAGACGTTGAAGATTCTCCTTAGCGGATGACGCGAGGCTTGTACATTCGGGGGTCAGTACGACGCGACGTAAGAATGGAACACAAGAGCAACGTAAGCGTTTATTTCTTATAACTGAGATTCAGTCAATCTGTGGGCGGCACACAATCGGCTTTGAAGCACTTTGGTGTATGGAATTTTCTCGGGGCATCCGAGTGGGTTCGAGCTTCGTTCTACATGCAGGTTCTTGGTCACCATCGAACTGAAAGTGATCGAGAAAGAACTCACACTGAACAATTCCTTGCGTGCCGTTGACTTGCGAAAGTGACGGTGCCGATACAAGTTCATTTCCGCCATTGATATAGCAAAAGCTAAACTGCTTTACGGACCACCAGATGGCACTGAATATCGGAAAGGGTCTATAAAGCGAAAATTGGCCCGCTAAATTTAGCGGGGACCCCTCTGAGTTTAGTGGGAAATTTAGCGTAAATTTTCCCACTAAATTTAGCGAAATAATTTAGCAAAAATGTTCCCGCTAAATTTAGCGGAGAAATTGAGTTAATGTTGAAGTCACGTGACGTCAATTTCCCCACTCAATATAGCCGGAAACCTTTTACGCTAAATTTAGTGGGAACATTTTTTCTCTCAATTTAGCGGGAAAATGTCCCCGCAAAATTTAGCGATAACCTTTGCCGCCAAATTTAGCGGGAAAATTTTACCCTCGTGACGTCACACGTGACGTCACGTGTGGTTTCATTATGGGAAACGTCCAATAATGCAACGCGCGGTTACGCCGACGCCGACGCCGTTCAAGGCGGAAACGGGCGCCCGCTCTAAAACAAAACAGAAAACGTTAAAGAGAAATAAGAATGTCGTACGGTCTTACCAAAGTATTACTATTAAGGACTGTTTACAGAGGAAATTGTACGCAGAAACTCAGCCAGCATTGCGATTATTCGGAATGAAATAATTTATTCCCGCGTGCTCCCCTTTTCCTTGTATTCCTCCAGTGAAGGCCATATGTCGCTGGCTGATACATCCATTTTCTCCAGAACAAAAATAGAATTAGCGCTGGAAGCTTGCATATCGTTGCGGTGCACTCTTAGAAAAAAGGATATGGATAGTCCTCCCTTAAGGGAGGAACGGTCTTGTAACCTATGTTCCTTTAGAAAGAGAGAAACGTTCGTCCCTGAAGCAGGGGAGCAAAGTTCCTCCGTCACCTGCATCTCATGATGGCGGCCCTGAATCGAGCGAATCGAGCTCAATAAGGCTTAACGAGTACGCTACGTCTCGTGTACGGGACGAGAGCAGCAGCAAATAAAAGCGTTACAGGAGCCTGACTGTGCTGCGTGCGGCAAGGTCGGGATATTTTTTCTGATGGCTGCTAATTTAATTAGATTTTTGGGTGCGTGGCCGTATTTGCGCTGTCACGCATCATCGCACGGAGGTGACGGAGGCCCATATCTGATAATCGCCGTCACGCCTGGAAGAGATATCTTCGGCACTGCACTCTTGTTTTTTAGTTTTGTTTTCTTCTTGGACGCAGCTTCTATAAAAGACAGTCGTGCTTCCAGCGATCGCTTTGGGGCGCCCGCACTACCCACATGGTGTCGTCCACGACCGCCGAACTTCCGGTGATCACGAAAGCCCTGGCTGCGTCGAAGCCCTTGACTACAAAAGCAATCGTTTTCATCACGGACTCCCGCGGAGGCATACAGCGTATACCCGAGCCTTGCCCACGCCACACAAGAAACGTGGTGAGACGGGTAGCCCGCCAGCCCGAAAAACATGGATACTCCATCTCGCTCCTGTCTGTCCCTCTAATGTTGGACTCCGCGGTAACGAGATCGTGGACCGCATAATCTCACGTGCTCACAAGCTCACTCCTACGCTCGCAGCGCCTTTTGATCCGAGCCGCTATCAGCAAACCGTACGGTCCTTCTTCTCTGACTTCTCTCCCTGGAGCGGCTCAAAGGGGCCACCTTGTCTGATTCAAGGATTAAGAAGGTTTGACGCGACGCTGCTCTTCCGCCTCAGGAGAGGAAGCGCACACAGAGGAGGGAGGCTCCTCCACCGGTTTGGGCTTAGAGACACTCCTCTCTGAAATGGTGTGCGGTTAGAGAGGACGAGGCTCGTGAACTCTGGGAGTGCCCTGTACATGAGAAAAGTCGGAAGACGTTTCTTCCCACCCTATCCTGACAACATGCACATCAGACCATTGGACGCGGTTTACCTTAAAGATCCCCAGACATGACCTCAACACTAATTCAATCCACAGCTAAATTTAGCGGGGAATTGAATTCGTGTTGGTGTCACGTGAAGTCAACTGTCTCGCTAAATTTAGCACGCTTACGCCGAAGCCGATGGCGGCGCCGGCGCCGCGAAACATGAAAAGGGGTGCATAAGAGCTGCGCTCTAAAATATTTCTTTTTTGTTGCTGACCACAGAGGTTTTCACTCATAAGGCGATTGCTTACCATGTTTTTTTGATTTGGAGTCCCCGTTCGTAACGCAAGAACCTTGTCCATTTCTATTTTGGCACAAAGCTGACAAAACTCAAATGACGTTTTCATCTTGCATTGCAAGGGCGTAAGAGTGTTAGGTTTACTTGGGAATAGGGTGGTAGGCTGGGCAAGTTGGTAAACGTTGAACATGATGAAAAATTGCACACAAAAAGAGAATATTCTCCACCCAAACGCTGCTGCGAGAGCATGTGGCTTCGCCTTGCATCTCATTCGGGCAGTCGCTCGGGCAACTAGCTGATAGAGTTGGAGCACTGAGTAAGCTACGATGGCCTTGACAACGTAGCACAAAATGCGAGGCAGAGTCAAAAAGTAACCGCACTTTAGCCGTGAGAAAATCAAATTTAGTGATATACTGCTGCGCTTCAAGGATGTTTTTACCTGCCACAAGCGGGAGCTATGCACGCCGTCCTGGCGACTTAACTGGAAATGTCACGTGACCACAGAACTTTCAAAATGGCCGCCCTTGCACCAAGGAAGAGTAGCGTTCGGTTATCTGATGTTTTGGGCCCGGAGGGCGAAAAACCTGCGGATAGTCATCGGAGGATGCTAAACCAGTCTGGAGACGCCTGCGTACCGCTTCGGCGGGTGTGCGAGTGGCACAAAACGGTTCTAAATGGAGCGTGCAGTTTACCGGACGCACCTCTCTCCGGCCGGGCTCACACTTCAACGACGCCGGATGCAATCTCTACTGTGGAACGGCTCATATACGGGAACCGGCGTGTTACCACCGTTGAAGTGGCTGAAGAATTGAATATTAGTCACGGCTCGACACACCATATTATTCATGATAGTCCGCAATACCACAAAGTGTCCTCCAGGTGGGTACCAAAATGACTTACACTGGACCTTAAAGGGACCATGAAACGATTCTGAAATCGAATTTTATCCGTGGAACTGCAGCACGTCAGCCGAATCCACGTCGCCTATTGGGTAAGCGCCTACCTCACCAGCACCGCGATCATAAACAATAAATAGCCGGCAAATGTTTCCTAAATGTTTTGTTAAATTATATTCAGATCCGCATTTTGTAGCATAATTAGAGATGTGTGGCGAAAATTGCCAAATCTGATGATGCTGAGAGCCGAGCGCCACGTATCGTGTGGTAAACGAAGCTGAGAGCCAGCGCCGGAGCTGTCTGCTGTCTTCCGCACTTTTTACGATCAAATCAGCATGGCCAACAGCGTCGCTTGATCGCGACGACCAACGAACGTTTATTTTTTTACCTGTTCTTCTCGCGCGTCCCGACTTCAAGCAGCAAGAAAAGAGTACTTGAAACAGACCACGACGAACAAGAACGCTGGGGCCACCACCCAAGAAAAGCTACGACGGTCACGAATCCACCGACTCTAACC